CCTCCTCCTCCTCCTCCTCCTTCCCATTCGTTTGGGGCTGAACAGGAGCCAGCGGGACCTGCGGGGTGGCAAGTAGCATGTGCGAGAAGTCCACCCTCCGGACCCTGTTGAGCAGCCGAGCCCGTTCGCGGTAATCGGAGAGATCCTTCTTGTAGTCCTGGTAGGGCAGGCTCAGGGGCACGGCTCGTGGGAGACCATTCACCTCAAACGGGGGCGCCACGGAGAATACCTGCAAGGGGCACACACAGGGACCCACTGAGGTCACCCCCCCATCCTGGGCCGGAGAAGGCCTGACTGCACTCCCAGGCTAGGAGGCCCATGAGACTGTGAGTTCCACTAGGGCACATGCTGGGGCTGTTTTGCTCATCGCTCTGTCCCCAGGGCTTAGAATGGTCCCTGGCACCTAGTAAGTGCTCAATAAATCTCTGATGACTAACTGTGTTCATGCTCCACGTCCCCTGAGGTCCCAGGCCTTGATCCTGGTGGCTTTTCTGTCTACCAGTCTTCCCTTTACCCCCACTCTTCTGTATCCTATGTGTTTCCTGAAACCCAGAGGCAACTCTAGTTCAATCAACAGAAGAAAATGACAACTGCAAGCCATCATAGCCACCATGTAGGAAACCAGGTCCAGAGAGAGACAGCAAGTGCCTCCTCACAGGGCACAGTTCCTCTGCAGCCAGGGAGCTGGCCACCAGGGCCACCAGAGCCTGTCAGACAAGGGCAAAGTTCAGGCTGTCCTCCACCCCTTGAAGTGCAGGCTGGGCCCCTGGAGCTCCAGCCCCCTTCCCACCTGCCTGTCAGCCAGGAATTTTCCAGTCCTCTGTAGGTATGTTTTGAGTCCACACTTCCTCCAAAAACTCACAGCCAGCCTATGAAAGGCAGTTTCTTTTCACTTGATTAAGTTTTATCCTTTGAAGATTTGTGCAGAGAGAATTCTTGGCAATGTGATGGCATGTCCTTGGTTTTCCAGATTTTTGCCACATCTCCCCTTAGCCCCCTTCCTTCCAGACTCAAAAGGCCTGACCATCTCACCAGGACCTCAGCTGCTGTGTCTTCTCTAGCTCTGCCCTTGTCAATCACACACATCCCCAGGCACCCACAATGCACCAGGCCCCATTAGGGCTGACATGGCTTTGTTCCTGGTGGGATGGTACTGATGGTATCCGGCACTTTGTTAGCCTTTTGAACACACAGGGCCTCTGTTTTCCTAAACATAACCCATGCAGACCAGAAGCCCTGGAGGGGCTCCAACACCTTCAGGTGCCATCCAGACTCTCAGGGAGTCCTGCCAGGCATTCCTCTTGAACATCTGTGTCTGCTGCCCTATGCCCATGGGCACAGCCCCGTCCTGCCTGGTGGTTCCCCAGCCATCAGCCTTTTTCCATTCTGCATTGCCCATCCGTTCTTCTTACAGCTGCCCAAGTGATCTTCCTGAAACTTAAATCTGATCCTATTTCTGCCTGCTTCAAACCTTCAGAAAACTATGGTGGGTCCCACAGTCCTCAGGAGACAGCTTCAAACCTGCAGAAACCTATGGTGGGTCCCACAGTCCTCAGGAGATAGCTTCAAACTTGCAGAAACCTATGGTGGGTCCCACAGTCCTCAGGAGACAGTTTCAATCTTTGGCTTGGCACATGAGCATCCCCACCCCCCCACTTGTCCCCACCCCACCCCATGATCTGACTCCTACCTTGTGCTCCAACCTCACTTTGAGCAGCACCCTCTGGTCCCCCACTTACATTCCAGCAGTTCTCTAAATGCCTCATGCATCTCACACTTCTGGGTCTTTTCCTAGGCAGTTTCCTTTGCCCAGGGGGTCCTCTCACTCTCTCTGTTGACATGACAAATTCCTATTCTTCCTCCAGGACCCATCTAAAACAGCTCATTTCCCCAAAAGCTTCTTGTCCACCCACCAAGCCGACTTCATCACTCTACTTGTTTTCCCACATCCTTCCATTACAGAACCTTCCACCCTCTATTTCACAAGCATGTGTTTACATGGCTCTCTTTCTTGATAAACACTGAGCCTCTTAAGGGTTTTTCATTCATTCATTCATTCATTCATTCATTCAAGAAGTCCTTGAATGTCTATTGCCTTGGCCGCTGTGTTAGAGGCTGTGAATTTGTGGATCAGCAAGACAGATCTGGTCCTTGTTTTCATGGAGTGTGAAATCTTTAGATTAGGAAATTAAATGGGGATAATGCATTCTCCACAAAGGCTGTGACCATAAATGAGGTCATGTTAGCAATGAGTCTGGCTTATAGCAGTTGATTGATAAATGTTAGCTCCCTCCCCACCCTGCCCCCCACCTCCTACCCCCACCCTCTTCACTCTGGTTTGAAGATCATTGATTCCTTCCTCAACCCCAGAAACTCCTGGATGCCACACCTATGGGCCGGGGGCGGGGGCTGGGGAAAGAAGGGGCTCTTCCAGCTGAGGTCTCTGTGCAGTCAGCCCAAAGGCTGGTGGAGGGGAAGGAATCCCCAAGGCCAAGATTTGCTCGAGGCTGTGACTTCTCCCCTCCTTAACTGCCATAATCTTCCTCACAATCAGACCATCAGTGAGGCCTTGATGGAGTGGGGAGGAGTGATGCAAGACAAAATAGCATCAGACACTGGACAGGACCCCAGCACACTCTGGGGCGTGTTCTGATTATGTTTTTATCCTGTCTGGCTCAGAACTCACCCACCCAGCACTAGATACATCCTACCCAGCAGGGATATCCTTCAACCCCACCAAGCCGTTCTTTCTCAGCAGAACCTCTGCCTGTTTTCCCTGTCCCATCTCTGACACTTCGGGCATCCCTGTTAGAACCACCTTTTCCCTTGCCATCTGGCCAGTTCTTGGGTCTCTCAGGAAAAGCCCCATCCATAGGATGGATCCTCTGCTCACAGTGCCCACATTAGATGATCATAGCTGGAACCCTCTCTCCTTTCATCTCAAAGCCCTCCCCTTCCATTACGTGAGGGATGAGAGCTGGAAATCAGGCATCGCTGATAATATCAGACTGGGAAACTGAGGCTTGGAGAGAAGCATCAACATGCCCAAGTCACAAAGCACACCACCCAGGGTAGCCCAGAGCTCAGAATTCTTTCCACTGCCTCACCGGCCTCCCATCCTCCCACGTGGAGAAACTCAGGACCCTCTGCCCTTTAGCAGAGCTGTGAACCTCAGAGTAGGGACAGGTTTGCCCTAAGGATCACTGCCAAGCCCACCCTGGCCTGGGCATGCTGGGTTTTCTATTTCAAAGCCCCTCCCCATCTGGCTCCATGTTGGGGAGGGCCAGGGCTGGGCTCAAGCTCCTCCTTCCTCAGAGAGCGGGAAGTCCTCCCACACCCTTTCTGGCCTCTCCTGGATGCCTGTGCCCAATGAGTATTCATCCATTTGCCCATGTGATCCTGTGCTCATTCAATCAGCCCACGGTCACTGGATAGCCTCTGTGTGCTTGGCCCTGTAGGCCTGAGGACACCATGGGAGGGGGACAGCAGTGACACTCTCCCAGTCTATCTCAGAGGGAAGAAACAGTGCTGGGTGTCACCAAGCGGAGGGGTCTGGGGAAGCTCACACCTTCCTGCTCCCTTCCCAGGGCAGTGGCCCTTTATGATTCCAGTCTGCTTATTGTGGTACTCCAGCATGCTTGGCGCAACGTGACTTGGGGGTGCTTTTTAAGAAAACAGAGCCCTGAGTCCTACTCCCTAGATTCTGTAGGTCAGAGTTGAGGCCCAGAAACCTGTTTCAAAGCTCCCTGGCGAACCGATGGAGTTTGGCCAAAGGCAGATGTGGTGAGGGTGGATAGTGTGGGAGGAGAGGCAGGCCTTTGGAGCTGAGAGAGAGAATGAAAGCCTCAGCCCTCCCCCTGCCTCCGCTGAGCCCAGAGCAGCGGCATGTGGCCTCACCAGCTTCAGAACTCAGCCCAAGCCCGTGTTTACTCCAGTCAGCCGGAAAAGTGAACAGAGGTAGACGGACCAGACCCCCAACTGCCCCTGCCACCAACAAAACTGGGCTCTCCTCAGCTTTGACTTCTCTGCTACTGACGCTGGAGACAGGTTGCTCCACATACCCCCATCCCCACACAGCGTGCATTGAGCAACTCTCCTGCCTGGACCCTAGCCAGTCCCAGACATTGTGCACTGCACATCAGCCCACAGTCCCAAGGTCAAAGAAGGGGGGCTGCCGATGGACGAGAGGAGTGTGAACTCTGCCACCCTGCCCCTCCCTCACTGCAGGGCGGGGAGGGCTTTGTGCCTCTCACAGCAGCGCCCCACCTCCTCCCTCAGCAGCTGCCCAGCGCATACCTCCCATCTCCCCCCCCCACCCCCCCCACC